TTTAAAATAACAAAGGCTGTGTTCCATACTTTATACAAGGGAACTTCAAAAAAGTTTTTCAAGCCATCCTTATTTAGCCACAACGCTAACTATCAAAGGAGTTGTTCTTTTAGTTTGTTGAGTGTTGTTAGGAGACTTATTTCCTTCATTTTTATTTTACCATTCTTGTTGAATTTCTATTATTCTTCCTACCATTTTTGTTATTTTTCACCCTTCTTTAATTACTATTGGTTCGTGTATTACAAATTTCAAATTGTTCCTGTAACATCTATTATTAGCGTTGATGACAATAGTTGCTTTTTCTTTTCTTTTCCTTGGTGAAATGGAAGATCTTTTATATATATAAACTGTCATGGCCCACCCCGTTGTGCAGATATTGTTTGCTTCGCGCACTCTTCATTTTCACCTTTTTTAAAACGTGTCTACACAGTTAGGAGTTGTCCACATATATAAGTGCTGATAACCTCTCTCTCTAGGCGATGTGGGATGTCACAATCACCCTTTCTAGACTCGGCATCCTCGCTAGCATGACCCTTATAAGCTTGTGGACGCTTCCCCAATTTTGGTTGGGGATTGACTTTGATACCATACGTCACCCCCACCCCGCTGTGTGGATATCGTCCACTTTGCACTCTTTGTGCTTACGATTTTCAAAATACGTTTACATAGTTAGGAGGTATTCACACATACAAGTGCCAACTACTGTGTAGACGCATTTTGAAAACTGTGAGCGTGCAAAACAAACAATATCTACACAGCGGGTCATGACAGATGATATTAGAGCTAAATGGAAATACTGTGCACATCTTAGACGGTCAAGTTAGCAAGAATGTTGGGTCCTTAAGAGCTGTGTTACTTGGACTCGTCGTTTTCGGCGAGGGTGTCCGTGTCGACACGACACCAACACGGACTCGGGATATGCGTTCGACCTTGTACGGTCAAGATCGGACACGGCCGTTGAAGAAAACCCTTGTTTCAGTGGTTGAAAATTATGGTCAGAAATTACTGGTTTCATCACGTTTTGAGGAAGGAGGTTTTGGAGAAGACGGGGGTTCTTCACGCGTTGGTTTTGCATAGAAACCTACTCTATTTGGAGCGTCCCACTCACGCGTAAACTTGACACCACTCGCGTAAATTTGACCGCCTGTCATTGTTGAGAAACGTAATAGAGTATGTATATATATATATATATATATATATATATATATATGATTGTAGCATAAATATCTATATATATATAATCATTTAGTGGGTTATCAGCTGTAACCCACTAACCATGTTGACCGAATAAAAAATAGGTGTAAATGTACATTTTTGACCTTATAATTTAAGATGGAAATATTAGAAAAGATTGTGGGCCAAGCGTGTTTTCACATTCTTACTAATGCTATTAATACCCTTCAATGGTCACGATCATGCCACTTGTCAATTTGGATGTAAAAATGTGGGAGAGTTTTATCTTTTAACAAGGATAATGTTTTACAGTTGTAAAACACTATCTAAGGCTACAACTGTACTGGACAGCTGTATTATTTTATTTAAGTAATATATATTGGTGAATCTTGAGCAAATTTTTTGACTAGCTTTAACAGTTTGACTTTATAAATAAGGTAATATTGTTATACAAGTCAGTAAATCCATTCATTAAAAAAAAAAAAAAAAACTGTACAAGGAAAGGCCTAGCCGAAAGGCAGCCCAGAAAAACAAAACAAAAACAGCCCACACAGGAGCACATTGCATCCACAACTGTAAGAACAGGTAGAAGTGCACCGATAGAGCAAAAAAAGAAAATCTGCATCACAAAAAAATAGAGCTTGGAAGGCTCCACGCGGCTATCTTTACATTTATATATTTATTCAATTTTTCATTAAAAAACTGAGGTCTAACATAAAAAAGGGTACATTTTTTTCTTTTCCTCCAAGTGTCCAAGTGTCTGTGTCCAACTTTTGGACACTTTTATTCCGTGTCCCCGTATCCTATAATTTGATAGATGGATGGATCCGATCTTTAGACACGCACCCGTGTCCGACACCCGCACCCGAGTCCAGGTAACATAGCTTAAGAGGGGGTGATTGGGATGTCCCACGTTGCTAGAGTGAAGAAGTTTCTAGCACTTATAAGGGGGATGCCTCCTATTTGTGTAGACGCGTTTTGAAAATAGTGTGCAAAGCGGATAATATCTGCACATAATGGAGCAGCTCTTGATTCATAGTATCAGAGCCAATCTACAGTTAAAAATTGGGGAGCGTGCACAATCACGAGGATCAGGATAGCGAGGACGTTGGGTCCCAATAGGGGTGATTATGACGTCCCACATCGCCTCGGGGGACATCACATCTCTTAAAGGGAAGGAGTTCCTGGCACTTAAAAGGGGGAATGCCTCCTACCTGTTTGACGCGCTTTGAAAATCATGAGCACCAAGAGTGTGCAGAGGGGATAATATCTGCACAACGTGGGGTGGCACCTGATAGAAATTAGTTTTATGTTTCCTTTAAAAAGGCTTGTTTTCTAGATTCAAGGGATCTTAGCAGGTTTCATTGACAGGAGCTAATGGTATTCTTATCTATCTTCACCCTTTGTAGTTGTTGGCGCTTCGATCTAGCCAACTCTTTGTATTCATGAATTGAATTTCTTTACCCTAGCTCTTTTGTGCTTCAAGTTATTGATTTATGAAGAAATTGCATGATAGACTCTTTTGTGCTTCAAGCTACCGAATTTCTTTACCCATACTCTTGTGGAGAAAAAGTACGCCAATTTACAAAATAAAGGCAATGTATGAAGTTTTGGTAATTATTAAGGAATTAAACTAGTGAGTCATATAATGAAATTATGAAAAAAGGTTATGGCTTAAAGACTAATAAATGAATCCACACTGTTTGAAAATCAATTTTGATTTATTGTGAAGGAGATCTACTATGAGGCCATTTGTTTAATTGGACAATTGGTAAAATATTGTATAAACATGCAAATGATTTGTACATGTTTGTTTATAAATTTAAAGAAGGCTCTTATGATAGAGAACCAAGAGATGTAATCTGGTGGACCTTACAAAGAAAACTAGTCCCTTTAAAACTTACATACATTATTAAGGATATGTATAACAAGACAAAAACTAAAGCTCATACCATATGTGGAGAAACTAGTGATTATTCTATAAAAGTGGGATGGCACTAAGGATCAGTTCTTAGCCCGTACCTTATCTAAAATAGTTTTATATAAAATAACAAAAGATATACAAGAAGACATTCCATGGTAAATATTTTTGCTGATTACATAATGTTGTTGATATAAGGAAGTTTTAGGGACAAAACCAGAAGAAATATGGAGAAATTCATCAGAAACAAAAGGATTAATAATTAGAAGACTAAAAAACAGAATATATGGAATGTGTATTTAATAGTCTTAGAAAGTGATCACATAACAATAACGACTCAAGACAAAAGAATTGCTGCAAAAAAAATAAAATAAAAATCATCTTAGATAGTTAGGACCAATACTACAAAGATGATGATATTACTAGCAGAGTTAAGAGTATGATAGACAAAATGGAGACATGCCACTGAATCCTATGTGATTAATTAATGCCAAATAACTTAAAAAGGAAAGTTTAATAGAATGGTTGTTTTTTTTTTGATAAGTAATAATTGAAATAAAAAGGTGTTCAAGAGCGGAACGCATCCCTTATACAAAAGTGGAACTGGGGTTTAATGCCCCAAAGAAGCCAAAAAATAATTAAATCTTCGGGAGAGGAACAGGACTTCCTCTTCACATAACTGAAAAGAGAGCGTATGATAGAATGGTTGTTATGCCAGCTATTTTGTATGGGGCAGATTGTTGAACGTTAAAAAAGAAACAAGAATAACGCATTTGGGTAGGTGAGATGATAATATTAAAGTAGATGATAGCAGTGACTAATCAAAGCGTGAGGGACAGATTATGAATAACACCTATTAATGACAAAATAAGAGAAAACAGACTTGGGTGGTTGAAACATACAACGTAGACTGTTGATTCACCGGTGAGAAAAGGATAATTAGTTAGTCTAGAAGGTAAGAGACAACGGAACCGACAAAAACTAGCTTGGGATGAAGTAATTAGAAGTGACTTAAAGAAATTAAACATAAGGGGAGACCTGGCATTCAATACGATAGAATGGAAAAGAAATTTCATATGGCCAAACCCACTGTAAAGGCAAGGATGATTATGATAATGATGATCAGTTTGTTAAATTACCTTTTTACCCTTGTTGGAAAAGATTACTGAATTACCCTTGAATATAGTTTGCAATTCCTTCTTCGACCTTGAGTAGGAGGCAATCAACTAATACTAAATTACTTTTGAAAACTTGTAACCTAAGTTTTTGACCTGATACTCCCTTCTCCAGGATTGAATTTTTATATTTACACGAGTCATTAGGAATAGGCTATATTCTATTTTAATACCGAATTTTCTATCCTCTGTATAAAATGGACCTTTTTCTTTTTAAATTTTTAAATATCACAGTTGTTACAGACATCTTCTCATCTTCTTATACATTTTGCTCTAACCTTGCCATGTAAATATTTATGTTATATTTTAAAATTATATAAAACTATCATTTCAAGTTTATAGTTTTTTTGATGACAATGAATATGTTATATTTTGAAATTCTAGTTTTTATGGACAACAGTTTGCCATTTGTTTACATTATATTGACCTCCATAAATTTGCGTGCATATAGAACACAAAATGGAATATATGTTTGAGTAGGCATATAATGAATTCAGAATTCACCTACTAGAACTATAATGCTAGATTTCCATCAGAACAGTACTGTATATGTAATGTCTAATTCTCATAATTTTGTCATGGGTGTTGTGAAGAATAACTCAGCAAAGCGTTGTACCCCTTGGTTTAAAGAGTAAGTTAGTCATAGTATACTGTATGTCTGTATCTTATTTCTGCCTTATTTGTTATCTTAATTATGATATTAATTGCTGTTTACCTTCCCTTTTTTGTAGAATCGAAGAGCTAGAATGCAACTTGGGCAGCAGCGGAGGTCAATCTCGACACACTCCTTGCGAGAGAAACCAGGTTTATGTTCTTTGGTGCAGTCATTTTGTATGTCACAGAGGTTTAACACAAGGTTCAGTCCAAAGTTTTGCACAAATACTGAAGCTCAAACAAGGAAAACATTCCAAGTCATCAGGAAACATGTTCCAGGTCTTGTGTTAAGCCAAAAAATTTCCTCTTTTCTGTCAGCCATCAAGAGGGGTATTTGATATACTTAAGTGACATATCTTCAGGTATTGATGATGATTTTATCCTCCATTCTCGAGATTTTTCCTTGCTAATTTATGGATCCAAATTGTTCATAGTGGCATCTTTTCTTTACGAATGTGTTATTCTCCGGTTTGAAGTTTTACATTTTCACTTATTCTTGTATGATGATTGATGATGAGTATTATACCCACATGCTTATGGTACCATTTTGTTCTTTTTGAACAATACTTTTCTCCATTTTGGTGAGGAGGAATCTCCTCGGACCACTGATGTGGCACAATAACAAGATGTCGTGTTTTCTTTTTTTATTTTTAAAAATATGTAAAGAAAAAAATGAAGTAAATCTTAACTTTCTCTCCCATAATTAAAATTCAAAACGGGTATGTGTCATTCCCGCCTTTGTGCCACATCGATAGTTTGGAGGAGGTTTCTCCTCATTGGCGTGGAGGTAAGTATTGTTTTTTCTACTTTACCAACTTTTAACTTCCAATAATTTTGCTAACAGCTTATTGCGTCTGTTGTCTGCTTGTAGGCAATGAAATTAGTATGTTAAAGTAGGGGGAAAAAAAAGTACTAAGTTAATATAGATGCAAATTAAGATTTAAGTTTTGGCTCTATACTGTTGACATTATATTTGTTTGTGGTACTTGAATGAAATAAGAGATGTCTGCATATTATATACATATTTATAGCTGTTGGATCGAATTTTTGTCTTCCCTGCAAACTTTTTATTTATTTTTCTTTCTTCTGTCCAAACTTGAAGCAAGAATTATGTGAGTTTATAACTGATGAAGGGCCTGAAATTTTGCAGTTAGAACTGAAGTTGCTTTCCATTTGGGTTTCTTTTCTCGGCTTTCAGAATTTTGCTTTATGGAGGCATTGTGAAGATGTAGTTAGGGCCTTCGAATAAATATTTATTAGCCATTATGCATAATGTCTGGCACCTTCTAATGTTCACTGAATGTGGTCATTGTTTAACTTATTTATTCTTATTATTTTTGGCATACTCTTAGACAGTCAAATAACCATTTTGAAGTATGGTCTGTTATTCCTTAAGATTTTTAACTAGATTTCAAGTGCATTTATGTTTTTGTGATAGTTGTTCACATCACATTACTCTGCCAGCCTTTTAATAAATAGTACCTTTTCTAGTTTCTTAAGATCAAAATAGCTTTCAAGTGCATTTATGTTTTTGTGATTGATACATGATACCTTTTATAGTTCCATAGGTGCAAATTTGTTGTCAACTAGAACTAGTAGGTTGTCAATGACTACAGGAACTGTTTGGACTGCCAGAAAACAGGCAGGCTGACATTCTTTTGAAACCATTACGAGCCCTTCCTGATTGAATTAGTTCATCGATTAATATTCACAAACTTTGCCTGTGACATACATCGTTTTCGGTGTCTCCCAAAATCACGTTTTTCAGTCCTATTGACTGGAGGTTCAATCGAACTAAAATTCTTCTGATTTTTAGTATTTAGTTTCCGCTTCGTCTGATGTCCTTTCCACTGATATGCAACATTAGTTTGCATAGGCTATTCCCTATATGTATGTCACGACTTATCATATTTTTTTGTCACCCACACATCTTTTGTCAAAAGGATCTAGATCCCAGAAGGGCCTCTTCTTTCGGGATTATTTCCTTATGGCATTACCATGTATCATTGGAAGACTTTGAAATGAAATACTCTCATACTAGGCTCCAATTTGAGTTTATGTCATGTGATATACTTAATTTTTAAATTGTTGTTTTTATCCGTTACTTGTTGCTATTAGTTTATTGGTGTGTTTTTTTTTTCGGTGGAGTCTTATTTATTTAATAGGTATGGTGGACCATTCGGGATGGCAATGGGGCGGGGCGGGGCGGGGCGGGGCGGGGATCTCATTCCCCATCCCCATCCCCGGTAATTTTTTTCATCCCCATCCCCTCCCCCATCCCTGTTTAAAATTTCACTTCAATCCCCATACCCGCTCCCGCCCTCCATTCCCCATCCCCGCCCCACAATCCCCATCCCCATTTAATATACACTATAATTTTTTTAACATATAATTTTTCTTATTTTTAGAAGTATGTTTTATATATTGTTAGAATATTTATATGTAAATATATATTTATGTTGGGGTCAGATTGTATTTAGATATAGGGTTTGTGGCCATTATGCAAATAGGCCTTTCTTGTATTGTATATTTACGCTTTTATGTTTAGGGTTGAATTGAGAAAATGAAATACAGAGGCAGCGCCTCTATCTTTGCACACTCTCACTGTATCATCTCTATCTCTCTCTCTCTACTCTTGCATTTTCACATATATACATAATTTAGTAATTTATCATAATATATAAGGGTATTTTAGTAAATGAACACCCTAAACGGGGCGGGGGAGGTTTACCCTATCCCCGTCCCTGCACGCCGGGTTTTAAAAAATTACCCCCATCCCCGTTTGCATAAAAGGGTCCCCAAACCTGCCCTAAACGTGGTGGGGCAGGGACCAGGCGGGGATGGGAAATTTGCCATCCCTATTGGTGGTAAAGTGGGAAAAAAAAAATGCACATAGGCACGTGGGTGTGTGCATGTGAGGCAGGTTATACCGTAAGCTTTGACCCAAGCCTGTAGTTAAAAGACCAAATGAAATGTAAAGTGCTTTAGTTTAGTACTTACTATTCTGTAAAAGGCTATGCATGCATTAGTGACACATTGGAAGGCTATTTCTGTACAACTATCTCAATTATAGCAAGCTTCTCAAGGAGGCTTTGGCTAGAAAACTCGAGACCAGAAAAAGAAAAAAGAAAAAAAGAAAAACAGAGAAGCAATGTGGTGGGGATGTTTTTACAAGTTGATTGCGAAAGTCTTGGCTTCTAGGTTGAAGAAGGTGATGGATGGTGTCATTTCTGACTCTCAGAATGCTTTTGTGAGAGGTCGGCAGATCTTGGATTCTGTTCTTATTGCTAGTGAATGTGTTGATTCCCGTTTAAGCAGCGGTGTTCCGGGTGTTCTTTGTAAGCTTGATATTGAAAAGGCATACGATCATGTGAGCTGGAGTTTCCTTCTCTACTTGTTAGAGAGGATGGGATTCGGTGGGCAGTGGAGGAGAGGGGTTCTTTTTTGCATCTCTAGCGCTCGGTTCTATGTCCTTGTGAATGGAGCGCCAACAGGTTTCTTCTCTAGCTCGAGGGGTTTGAGACAAGGGGATCCGCTTTCCCCTTTCTTGTTCCTTTTTGTGATGGAGGCTCTTAGCAGATTGCTAAAGAGGGCTATGGAGCTGGGTTTTTTGAGAGGCTTTCGGGTGGGTAGGGATGCTGCTAGTCAATTGGAGGTTTCTCATTTGATGTTTGCAGATGACACTATTGTGTTTTGTGATGCGGATGCGTCCCAGCTAAGGTATTTGAGATGCGTTTTGATTTGGTTTCAAGTTGTTTCTGACCTTAAGGTTAATGTTGGCAAGAGTATTCTTGTGCCTGTTGGGGATGTTCTGGAGATTGAGTTGTTTGCTCACATCCTTGGATATTGCACTAGCTCTTTTCCCATTTCTTATTTAGGATTGCCTTTGGGTGCCCCTTCGAGATGTGTGGGGAGCTGGGATCCGGTTGTGGAAAGAGTCGAGAGGAGGTTGGCGGGTTGGAAAAAGCAGTACCTGTCCAAGGGGGGTTGGGTTACCCTGATTAAGAGCACCCTTTCTAGCCTTCCTACATACTTCTTGTCTCTGTTTCAGATTCCTTCTTTAGTGGCTGAGAGAATTGAAAGATTGCAGTGCAACTTCCTTGGGGGGGGGGGAAAGATGAAGAGTTCAAATTTCACTTGGTTCGATGGGAACAAGTGTGTCGTCCAATTCGGTTCGGAGGCTTAAGGTTTCGGAGGCTGTTGCCTTTTAACAAGGCTCTTCTTGAAAAATGGCTCTGGAGGTTTGGGATCGAGAGGCATTGGTTATGGAGGAAAGTTATTGCTAGCAAATTTCGGGAAAGCAGTGGTGGGTGGTGCTCCCTGGAGATGCGTGGTCCAAGGGGGGTGGGAGTTTGGCATTTCATTCAGAGGGGTTGGGATGATTTCTGCAAGCATGTTCGTTTTCGTGTTAAAGATGGAAGGAGGATCAGTTTTTGGATGGATCTCTGGTGTGGGGATCTCCCTCTTGCTCTCGCGTTCCCACGGCTCTATAGGATTGCTTCTCATCGACAGGCCATGGTTGTTGATTGTTATCATCTTGATAACGAGAGACTGTCTTGGGATGTTCGTTTCAGGAGGCATTTTCAGGATTGGGAGATCGAGGATGTTTTTCGTTTTCTGGAGCTATTGTATAGCCAGGTGTTTTCTTTTGGGGGATCGGATTGGTGGTTCTGGATTCCTACCTTGCATGGTCGATTTGAGGTTAGGTCCTTTTTCAGATACCTTTCGGTTGGTCATGGAGATCCCTTCCCTTGGAAGTCTATTTGGCGGTCGAAGGCTCCCCGCAAGGTCGCTTTTTTTGCTTGGACCTCTGTTCTGGGTAAGATTTTAACCCAGGATAATCTGAGGAGGAAGAATCAGGTGGTGGTCAATCACTGTTATATGTGTTTGTGTAATGAGGAGTCTGTTGATCACCTCCTTTTACATTGCAACATGGCCAGAGATTGTTGGGATTTGATGCTTCGTTTATTTGGGGTACATTGGGCCATGCCTTTTTCCTCTAGAGGGTTGATTGAGGCTTGGAGAGGCGTCTCTGTTGGGGCTGGCATTAGGGATGCTTGAAGGGCTACGCCGCTTTGTATCTGGTGATGTATTTGGCTTGAGAGAAATAGGAGATATTTTGACGGGAAAAAGAAGTCTGTTTCTATGCTTAAGTTCTTTGTTATTTCTACTCTTTTTTGTTGGGTTTCAGGGAGAGATTATAGATCTATGGAGCCTCTTTGAAGGTCTAAGACGCCCTTTGGCCCTTGTGTTCCTTTTCCTTTTGTTTCTTTGGACTTCGCTCCCCTTTTTGAGCGTTTTTAATAAAATCTTACTTATCAAAAAAAAAAAAAAAAGTGGCCAGAATAGATATATAGACACAGAGAGAGTAGCACAGTAGAAGAAAAAAAGGAGAGGAAAGAAGTGGAAGGAGGAAAGAAAAACCTAAAAGCAAACTGCAAGAGGTAGGTATTCAAATCAGAAATCTTTTCAAATATGGTGTTCTACAGTATCAAAAATTGGAACTTCCTTTAGTTGTGAAATTCCTTTGTCAAGAATCTGAAATTTGTTCTAAAATTGATATACCCTTGAAACTCCCCCTTGTGGAAATTTAGGATGAACACTAGGGCTTTCGGACTGCTATTTAGATAATTTATTAAGCATTGAAATACTAACTAGGAAAAAAAAAAAGAAAAGGCATTGAAATAGTCTGCGAATTGAATCTGTGGAATTTTTTTTGGCCTGATTTAGTTAAGTACTGAATTAGTTATGAATTTTTTAAGTTGTGTAAGGTGGGCTGTGGGATTACTTTTCACACAGCAGAATTTCCCATCTCTTGTGTGACTAAAATGAAGTAGTTTATGCATTTTTTTTTTTTTTTTTCTGGAATGTTTATTTCTGATTTCATACTACAATCAGTTGGGTTTCATTTGATTTTGGTTTCATTCAATTCAGGTTAATAGTTGATTTTATACAAATTTTTTAGTAAGTAATAGTTTACTGAAAATTTTGGGGACAGCAGTACTTCTGTTTAATTTTAGCCAAGTTTGTTGTCGGATGTTGAGGATGAAAACGTGCGACTGATATTAGACTTATAACCCAAGTCACATAAAGTGGGAGCGGGAACAAGAACGAGTGCGAGTGTGAGAGCAGGAGCGCAAAAAGACAAAATTTAAGTCACAAAAAGTAAAAATCGAAGTGAAAGTGCATGCGGAGCTTGAAAGCGGCACCAGTTTAGAAGAATTATTTGACAGCTTATAACTGCTTCCCTAGCTTCTTCTTCTTCTATTTTTTTTTTTTTTTTTTTCCTCTTTATAATTCAGATTTAAAGATTTGTTTTGAATTTTTAAAATACAAGTTGTGGCTATGGACAGAAAAAGCGTAATTTCAGTACTTTATACACTTTGATGGTTGTACTTTATAGAAGTTTCATTTTATAATTGCATATGATATTTGGTAGTTAAAGATGGAATCATACAGATTTCTTTAGAAGTTTGTCATGCTAATTTTATTTTATAAAAGTGAATTGTGATTATGCAAGTAGAATGAAATGTTCATGAAATTTGGGTGTGGCTACCTAGTGGTATTTGATTGTGTTTTTCCAAGTGTGTATGTGCCTCGGATCAATAGGTAGGGTAAGAGTTTCCCTTAGGTTGAAAGACTTTAAACAGACCGGGCCCGAATGAGGGGGTGTTCACGAAGGTCCTTGAAGACACGTGAGGGTACACAGCGTTGGATTGGATATGATGGAATTTGCTATCCTTGATGAACTATTAGGTTTCTTGAGTTATTAATTTGAGAGATGATTTTAAAATGAGTTTGAGTTTGGAAGTAATATTTTCAGTTGATTTGAAGTACTATGAGTAATAGTCGACAACCTAATTAAAGTGTTCAGTTAACCTTCCCACATTGCTATGGTTCTCATTAGCGTAGAGATGCTTAACCTTTGTTTGATAGAAATCTCTTCATTTTAGATAAAACCAGAAATCTACTGGGCTCTTTGAATCTCGCGTCTTTTTCTAAACCTTTTTCAGGTCCTAATAGTGGCAAGAAGGTCCATGGCTCAGTAGTACGGTTGACTTTAGGCTGACTTTTGGAGACGTGGCAGTCAGGTGGATTTTTTATATGTATTTTGGTGCTAGCCGCTATGTTTGTTTTTGGATTATTGGGCAGCATAGTCGGGACTAGTGTGTGTCCCATTTTGTGACTTGTAAATTTAATTTTGGTTGTTGTGTACGGACTATGAACTATGTTACTATGTATATTCCAAGTGTTGTGTTTAATGGTGGTTAATGAAGTGATTTTGGGATTATTGGCTTGGCATTAGCTAGTTTGCTTACATATGTTATCAAGCACGTTGAGATTTATTCAAGGTGTTTAGTGATTATCTCCGTTTCTGCCGGAGCGGGGTGTGACATGTTCAATATAATATGGCTTGTCAAGAATTTTTGCTCCTTGGTATCATATATAAATATGAGTTCTTTGTTTCTTCAAAGAAGTCAAGTGGATCGAGAACAATAGGAATTTGGGATTCTTTGTCCGAGTTACCTATGAGCAGATATGTATTTCGGGTGTTGCGGATGGAATACAGATCGATCTGATATCTTGCAGGTCTCAACAAGCCTTACCCGAAAGCTATTTGATAGTGTGTTAATCGCTGAGCTAAAGAGCTAGGGCCAGGGTGAGCAAGCCACCTTTGAGCTATTTTAATACTCCCATGTTCTGCCGGAGATCTCTCAGTTCATTGAAAGAAGTCCTCGCGTATGGAATTGCCTTTTGAGCAATGTTCAATATAATATGGCTTGACAAGTTTAGGCCAAGAATGTTTGCTCCTTTGGTATCTTTTGGTCGCCACTGCTACCTTATTTTATTGATCATTGTATTTAATTATCAAAAAGCGTTTAAATTTTGTTCAAGGTCTAAATGACTGCTTTAGCTTCTTTGTTTTCACTTCAGTGACCTAATATATGCGTGCGTGATGTATATACGATGTATGTATATACTATACTCTCTCTACTGTGAGAGAATAAGCAAGGGGCATGTAACAACTGAAGGTTGTATGGGAAAGCAAATGATAATAGCATGGAAACTCATCCATCTTCTGTGTGACCTTGTGTCATTGAATGAACTTGGATTTGGATTTTATTATTATTATTATTCAATTTTGATTTTCTATTAGGGCATATGCTTTTGATTTTAAAAGTCATTAAAAACAACAATCTTGAGCTTTAAAATTATTACTGATTGCATTAGTCATTTCACACCAGAACTAACAGCTTTCTTATAGTTCAGGGGATTATACCTATTAAGTCAATCTCCTGAACTATGTTTGAATTTGTAAATAACCCTCTCCCAATGCCTAGATTATACTATATTTCATAAAATGATCATAATGCACTTTCTTATTAATTACACTTAATCTATTTTTCTTATTGAAATAAATTATGAAAAAAAAAAAAGAATACTAATTATTAGATGACATTTTTCATTAAATTTGCATAAATTTACTTTTAATTTTTAAAATTAATTGTTTAAATAAAAATATTAAGTAGAAATTTTTTAAAAAAATTAATTAATTTCTTAATTTTCATGGAATATCTTACATGAAAAATAAGGTATTTTGTATTTAAGTAATTTATTAAAATTTCATCAATATATTATATAAAAAAAGAAGGTATTTTACCACGATAAAAAAGTTTAAAATGGTTATAGTATGTTTTATTTTAAATAATAAAATTTTAATAATAAGTTAATCATTTTAAAAAATGGTAGTTACAATTTTTTTTTTTTTTGTTTTTGTTTTTTTTTCATTTTTATGATAAATTGATACTAATAATAAAATAAAATAAAATAGTGTAATTAATATTTATGTAAGAAAAAAGAAAATGACTTAATGAGAAAGGGTAAAATAGTCTTTTTAGTTTGTCCTTAATTACAACAAATCAATAATTAAGGGAGCACTTTTCCGTTCAGAGGGTTATTTGCAAAAGAATAAAAATAAGGTAGAAAATTTTAATTTTAATTTAATTTTAATTTTTAAAATTAATTGTTTAAATAAAAATATTAAGTAGAAATTTTTTTAAAAAATTAATTAATTTCTTAATTGTCATGGAATATCTTACATGAAAAATAAGGTATTTTGTATTTAAGTAATTTATTAAAATTTCATCAATATATTGTATAAAAAAAGAAGGTATTTTACCACGATAAAAAAGTTTAAAATGGTTATAGTATGTTTTATTTTAAATAATAAAATTTTAATAATAAGTTAATCATTTAAAAAAATGGTAGTAACAAATCATTTTTTTTTAATTTTTATTTTTAATGATAAATTGATGATAAATTGATACTAATAATAAAATAAAATTAAATAGTAATTAATAGTTATATAAGAAAAAAGCAAAATGACTTAATGAGGAAGGATAAAATAGTCTTTTGAGTTTGTCCTTAATTACAACAAATTAATAATTGAGGGAGCACTTTTTCGTTCAGAGGGTTTTTTGCAAAAGAATAATTACCCTAAATATTATAGTAACCAGCGCTCTATGTATGTATATGTATGAAAGGTTTGCATAATAATTATTTATACATATATGCACTAATTAAGTTTTTTTGTTTTTTTTTGGAACTGTTAAGCAATTTATATATGTATGAACAATTTACAAGGCGGGGTGCTGCCAAAGGCCCAGTGGTAGCCTGGTAGGGCTTCACAGGTTCCATCATCCATGCAGCATGACTCTGATTCGACTCCCACCCCGATCATTCCCCCTCCCCTATACTAACATTGCCAGGGAAAAAAAAATTTAAAAGACCATTTGGCCCAAGCAGGCCAACATCCAGGCAGCCCAAGAAGATTGTGAAGATTGCAACAAGAAGGCCAACGAAAAAATTAGAAGTAGGTGATAATTTTTCTGGAAGCTGTTATCAGCTCTCCAGTATTCACCCTCTCTCTCTCTTAAAACAAAATGTGGTGGATGCAAGAATTAAGATGGAATTGTTGAGCCTTGTGTGTTTCCAGTGGTGCGAAGCCCAAGCTATAGGCTTGACAAATCTATAGGGTAGATAAAGAAACCACATTTAGATTGAATGAAACTCCGGATTGGGGAGGCCAAATCACACAAGAAAAAGAGGTGAGACTCCAGGGCAGAGGGGGCGCGGAGAGCAATGGTAACCAGTTATAAGCTCATGGGCGACCAGAACAATGTCTTCCTTCCACCAAGTCTGACTAGTTTGGCCTGATGGCGTGGGGGTAAAGAATTGGATTTATTTTAATTGGCTATTGATTTAGCAATGCATTTTATTTATACACAATATTGCATCATGAAACGAGACAAAATCATTTTAAGGAAAAAGGGTTTAAGACCAGAGCAATGTAAGATGGGTTCACTCCTTAAGGATCTTACAATTGCCAAGACATTCCCTAATATATTCAGCTCATTATTGGGCATGTGTGAAAATATGGGCACTTTACCCATCAAGGCCAGGGACCTGTCACTGTTCAAGGAGCTTTTTATTCTAGAAAGAGGGGAAAGAGAATAACGGAATTGTGGAGGAACAAACTTGGTAATACATGGTTACAAAGTAGTAGATGTGCTTTGCCTAACAGGAGGTTTTGAAACTAGGATAGAACTTCCTGTTTTATGAGTATATCACCTTCAATAGGCACCCCTGTGCAACATGGAATTAAGGCTCACAATTTTCCTTCTATTAGTACTAGATTTAAAGTGGAAAGAGAAGAGATTGGATAGATTTAAAGAAGTCCCCCAAAACATCAATGTCTGCATCTAAATGGATACTACAGTTTTCATAAGCCTACAATCAGATGAAAAAACCACTAGCAAAATTATTTTTAAGTCAAAGAAGCTAGCGAATAAGAAAATGCTACCGTACTTTGCATGCCTGTATAAAACTCATCATACAGAATTAAGTGAAAAATGTAAAACTTCCAATCAAAGAATAACCAAATCCACAACAAAAAGATGCCACTAGGAATCATTTGGATCTATAAGTTAGCAAGGAAAAATCTAGAAAAGGGAGGATAATATCATCATCCAAATCTGAAAATATGCCACTTAGGGATATCAAATACCCCTCTTGATGACCGACAGAAAAGAGGACAATTTTTTGCATTGCGCAAGACCTGGCACAGGTCGCCTGATCTGAGCTTCAGTAGCTGTGCAAAACTTTCGACTGAACTTTGTTGTAAACCTCTGTGACATATAATTTGACTGCACCATAGAAAGTAAACCTGGTTTCTCCTGCAAAGAGTGTGTCGAGATTGGCCTCCTTTGCTGCCCAAGTGGCATTCCATTTGTTTGCTTCCGCAAAAATGGGATTGTAAACAGCAATTACTATCATAATTAAGATTACACAAGAGGGAAGGCAGAAATGGGATACAGATGCATACAAAATCATGCTAACATAATACTGGACTTTCCAATGCATGTAAAAGATGCATGACGAAATTATGTTCTGATGAAATTCTAGCACGAAAGCTCCCATCAGTGAATTCTAAATGTAGTAATTCCTATATAATTGGACACGGAGAAGAACATCATATCGTACTCAAACATATATTTCATTTTCTATGTTCTATAAGCACATATTAAGGAAAAAAGGGTTAATTTTTATATATAGAATAAACTAATCTATATCAAAAGAAGAAGAAGAAGAAGAAGAATACAAAAGAAAAGAAAATAACCGATCCTGAAAAAGGCAACAAACAAGAAGCCAATCTCTAAAGGGACATGATTTATGAAGGAGAAGGAACATCATATCGTACTCAAACATATATTTCATTTTCTATTATAAGCACATGTTAAAAAGAAAAGGGTTAATTTTTATATATAGAATAAACTAATCCATATCAAAAGAAGAAGAAGAATAATACAAAAGAAAAGTAAATAACCGATCCAGAAAAAGGCAACAGACAAGAAGCCAATCTCTAAAGGGACATGATTTATAAAGAGCACGGGACAAGCCTATTAGAAGTTGAGAAAGGACAACTGACAGTCTTGAATCTGTTCTCCCTCGTGTGATTGGGATACACGGATAATAAGAGAGAAAGGGAGAACCGGGGGGGGGGGGGGGGGGGGGGGGAGGGGGTTGGTGTGGCGGTTTGAGAGAAACATCGATTGCAACTCCTTTGTACATGCTATATATTATATGTGATTGTGAGACGAATCAATCCCATAAATAGGAATCCTCCATTAATGTATTTTCCATATTTATCGCTTGTATTATTTCACCTATAAATAAAGGTAGTCATTGTAAACAAAACAAAGAGAGACTATAATAAAAGACGTACCTCTTTTGACTTTGTTTACCCTGGATGTAGGCCGTAGTGGCCAAATCACGTATATCTTTTTATTGTTTCATTCTTAATTTCTCTCTTCAATCATTTTTATTTTTTTTTATCAACATGGTCAGTGTTATTAAAGGTCCAAGGCAAACCAAGGCGCTAGAGTGTCCTTTGGAGCCTAGGCGCGAGGTGCACAGTGAGGTGCGCGCCTGAGTAAAGTGAGGCGCACAATTGTAAGTTTAAACTACCATCATAATATTCATATCTCATAAGTCATATCAATATTCTAAAAATTAATATCAAATATAAAAAAGTAAATCCATCAACTATACAAGCATCCAACAACCATAAAACAGAGGACAAATTTGTTTTCTTGAAAGGCAAAGCAAAATGTGTTTTTTTGAATGGTAAAACAAAGCACAAAAAGAAATAAATATGTTAAAAAAAATAATTAAAAATAATAATAATAATAACAAGAGAGAAGAAAAAGAAAAAACAGAGCCAAAAAAAAAAAAAAAGACAGAAAGAAGAGAGGGGAGATCTAGAGGAGAAGGTAGAAAAAGAAAAGAAAAAAAGAACTAATGTGGCTTCGTTGTTCATCTCTACAACTAGGGCTTCGTCTTTGTCTCACAATCTCATTCTATTGATGTTCGGTTAACACTTTAACTCTTGGGCTTTCTTATTTTTTTATTCTTATGAACAAAAGTTCCTTTTATCATATGTTTAGGCTTTCTTTTTTGTTTATTAAGTTGCCAAAAGTACCATTTTTGGCTTAAGAAATAGAACAATCATATTTTTTTAAACAAAAATCAGTGAGGCGCACCACGCCTCACAAACAGGACTAGGCGCAACCGAGGCGCACACCTAATAAACATCAGTGAGCTTGGAATGACAACAGGCGCTAAACCTGAGTCTCAAGCCTAAGCGCGCCTAGGTGCGAGCCTGGGCGCGCCTTTAACAACATTGAACATGGTATTAAAGCAGGTTTATTATACCCTACTCTAAACTCGTCTTGGATCAACTTGTCTAGGATCTCCGTATTTACTTGTCTCGATCTCTCGACAACTTCATATTTAGCTTCAAGTTGGACACTTAAGAAAATCTTTATGTACCAACACGAGGATGGGTGTTGGAAGAATATCATAGGTAAGATTTATGGGGTTGATTTTAGGAATCCTCCATCAATATATTTTTCGTATTTATCACTTGTATTCAATTTCTTCCAGAAGGAGATGATTAACAAGGTTTTAAAAATTGGGATTCTACGTAGGTTCATTTTGGGCTTCGTAGAATCAGAATCGTAGAATCGGATCGAGAATCGTAAGAATCTACCAAACTAGTAAAAAAACAAAATTTTAAACAATAATATCTCTAAAAAATAGCAAGAATAAGTCCAAAACACACCACACATACACACAGAGTATAAAAGTACCATTCCAAAGTCAAGATATAATATAAAAGAGAGTGTAGCTTAAAAGGTAGAGGCTCTCATGACAACTATGCAAGTGCTCAAGCTAATTCATGCGAAATAAAAAAAAGGCAAAAAAAGTTTCTGTGGAAGGAAATCTAAATTTTCACTTACATTGGTAACCAGAATTACACAAACTTAATGAAATAAGGACAAATAATCATGACTGACATATTACTTTTATTTAAACACATCTGCATTCCAAAATATCTACAATAAATTTTATTAACCTAATTAATAGGCATAGCTGAAATAAGCTTTATTAAGCAAATTCTTGGACATAAATTCAATTAATCAAATACCTATGCATGATGCATATCAAAACTCTTAAGAAATCAATTAATCAAATACCCAAAGGAAAAAAAAAAAAAAAAAAGGTGAACAGTAGAATCCGAATTCTACAATTCTACTATACGATTCTACCCAAACAAACGATTTTCATGCGATTCAATTCGCTTTTGAGGTCTAGGATCGTAGAATCGTGCAATTCTACGACCTAGAATCGTAATTTTAACAACGATTAATCATTTGCTTCTCACACTCCGTGAATAGCTAGGACATTGAGGAATATCCAGAAAAGCATTTCGGAAATCAGTTTGATTATTAGACGAAAGAGGGGTTAATGCCAATCCAAAAATTGGAACAACTTTGTTAGCATATCTTCGATGAAATTCCTCATGAAGAAAGTCAGAATCAAAGGATGCATATGCAACTCCATCTTCTAAATCAACATATGTGAAAAGAAGAGGTACAGTAAGGAAGAATGCCTAGCCAAGAGGCTAATCAGCTATGTAAAGGCTAGTGGTATGGTTTCAACCTCATCAGCAAAAAGAGTTGTGTCCTATAAATGGTATAAAAAAATTAAAAAAAAAGAGACTTTTGCCAGATCCACACTCATTTAGAAGTTGCTATTTAAAGAAGTACTGACTCACTTTTCGATATTGTACCTTACGTAGTGCACTACATACCACAACCCAATCGAGATTAACCTCCTGATTTGAAATAAACTTGAAGTCGAAAGACTTGCCATGGTGTTTCGTCGTCTGGTGATGAGCGCTAATAAGTGCGCATTTAAACCCCTTAAGCTTGAGTATTCTAGGACCTTATCCTATCTTATTTTCCCGTTTTAGTCTAATTTCATATTATTTCCCTTTTCAGGCACTTATCCCAAAAATAAGTCAATTCAACCAAATTAGAGCATAAAAGAAGCAAAAAAAGAGACTTTTGCCAAATCCACACTCATTTAGAAGTTGCTATTTAAAGAAGTACTGACTCACTTTTCGATATTGTACCTTACGTAGTGCACTACATACCACAACCCAATCGAGATTAACCTCCTGATTTGAAATAAACTTGAAGTCGAAAGACTTGCCATGGTGTTCCGTCGTTTGGTGATGAGCGCTAAAAAGTGCGCATTTAAACCCCTTAAGCTTGAGTATTCTAGGACCTTATCCTATCTTATTTTCCCGTTTTAGTCTAATTTCATATTATTTCCCTTTTCAGGCACTTATCCCAAAAATAAGTCAATTCAACCAAATTAGAGCATAAAAGAAGCAATCTTAGGCTGAATGGAAGAAAGGAGCAAAGTGGAAGCAAAGTGGAGGAAAACAACAAGTTTCGATCGATCTCGCCAATCTTCAATCGATCTCACAGTGATCGATCCAACCTCACCAAGATGGATCAAACCTCTGGTCTTTATCCTCAAGAAATCACCATCTTCGATCGATCCAATTTTCCTCAAATCGATCAAACTTCCTTGATCTTATCACCACCTACCACTTTTGTCTTTTTCCCAAAATATCCCGAAAATATCTTAAATCTGTCAGTATTCCAAAAGGCGCCACCATAGTTCGATCGATCTCACCACAGTTCGATTGATCGAACCCTCTAAAATGCCAAAAAAAACAGAGTCCAGCTCATTAAAAGGTGGCTCGTGGTGCAATCATTGGAAGGGCCCTAGTGCACGAGTCCAAACCATTGGTTGTGACACATGAGCTACCTATATAAGAATTTTGAGCCATTTTATACATATACAATCTTGGAGAATCAAAGAGAGGAGTAGAGGCTAGAGATTAGAGACACATACACACCATTTGGGAGTTTTTCCATTCATCTAGGGTTTCCATCAAGAAGAAGATCATTCCCACCATGGAGATGGCCCTTGAGGGTTGGATGACTACATCAATGAGTGGCTAAACATCTTCTTGGGGCTAGAGTTAGCCCTAAGCATGCCTTCTAGATCTTGATGTTTTGTATTTTGAGGGGATTTGTGTTGTAATTCTTGCCTTGACACTTGGTTTATATATGAATCTTGTTTTTACAAGGATTTGTGTGGTTTAATGCTTCCAATTGATCATTTCATTCTATTCATATGTCTATGTATGCTAGAATAGATGTTTATGTGTTTATCTCTAGTTTTTGTGTTATTAATGCATGTCTATGTGTGTATCATCATAAATCTAGAGATTGTCAAGGCATGGTGCTTTAATAGAATACTCATGTGGTTTGTTTGATTGTTCATACTCATTTTTTTTTTTTTTTTGATAAAT